TGTTCATCTGTGGCCTGTGCCCTTGCTAGGTGTGTAGGGACCTGTTAGAATTTGAGAGATTAAGACTTAAGTCTTATCTTTAAACTGAAGATTTTCCAGTGTTCTACTCAAAATGATTTATCCACTTTTATTCCCGAGAGTGTGTATGCTAGGGAAGAGCCAAGGCAAGCTAACTAGGGCAGAGCTATCCTGTCTGGATGAGCTTCGGTGCACAGGTTCCCTGACAGCCTCCTTTCTGCTCATGTGTGCTTTGACTAGCAGTAGTAGTAATTCAGGCCCCTGTTTCACTGTTCAGCCAGCATGTTTAGATACCTTCCTAACATGCAGTGCCCTTGAAGATTCATTTCAGCACAGCAAGACACTGAACTGTAATACCCTCCAAGAAAACCTTAACTTGTGCAAGTAGGAAAAAATTACTTCCAGTTTTTTTTAAAAACTGTTGTTAACTCTGGGTATACACATATTTGCAGTTGGACTGCAGTTTTGCTTTACATTTTTTAAGAATTTTTTTCTCCTTTGGAGACTTGGAACTGTAGGAGCAAAGTAGATGTACAGTTGAAAATCCAGAATGTATGGTTTAACTTCAAATTATTTTATAATAAGGATAGCTGCAAAGCTTTGAACAATGATTCTGGTTAGCACTGTTGAAAAGTCTGGTCACTGCAAGCTTACACCTCTGTTCAATGTGAGGTTACATTAGAAATGTAAAGTAACTGTGCAGTGAGGTGAGAAGATGGGAGCAATGCCTACTTTGTTCATGTTTTTGATGGAGTCAGCTGTCAGGACTAGATGGAAGTGGAAGTTTGGATGCAGAGCTAGTCACAGCAGTACTCTTAGGAGCAGTGATGTCTGCTGTAGCAGCTTTGGCCCACAGAGACCCAAAAGGAGCTGATGGCAGGTTGTTTTGAGGAGTCTGGGCTACCTTAATGTGTAAAATCAGGGAGGTGGGGAGGGGGAGAAGTTTGTGTTCTGCTTGATTAAGAATCACCCTTTAAAAGTTTGTTTGTTCTAGTCCATAATCTAACAGTAAAAGATGTATTTTTAAAAAAGTGTATCCCAAAAAGGTATAGAATAATAGCTAAGGGATGTGGTTGGGTTTGTAGGGAATAAAGGTCAGTGAAGGTTTAAGACTTGCTTGAATTCTTGGGGCTGAGTTTGTGGGCACCCAAAATGTTCAGAAATGAACTCTTAAGTGCTGTTGGTAAAATCTGTTACCTAAAGACCTGTTCATTAATAAAATTCTTAATAGTATCTGTGACTCAAGAATAGCTCAGTTTTATGAATGGTATGGCCTGGTACTCATTTGTGATGTACTGATCTCAGGCAGGAATGCTGGAAACAACTGGGAAGGGCCTGGTGCCTGTCCATTGAAGTTCTAGTGTGCTGCTGAGGTGCTGCACAGCTCCAACTCTAACCTTAGCCAGCTGTGCTTAATCCCCTGGCTGCAATAAAGTAAACCTCTGGTGGTGGCTGGGTGTGCTGAGATGGAGTGAACACTTCTGAATTAGTTAGAGATTTTTTTTTTCTTGTAATGTGCTTATGTTGTTGACTATCTAAAATATTTGCTCTTTGGTGGTACTTCCTTAGTAAATAATTTAGCTGTGTGTTCCTGGCCTATACTAGCATATAGTTCTGTTTATTAGGACAAACAAGATGGTGAAAATCACAAGGTGACTTCAGGAGCAGATAAAAGTGTATATATATATATATAATACTATAACTGACCTGTTATTTAGTCACACAGTATGGTGTTCAGGCATCAGTGATTTCCCTGTGGAAGGAATGGGGTAAAGAATTACCTGTCTTTTTGTTCTGTTTGTCAGTTTGTGGGTTTTAGTTGAGTCCTTCTGGTCCTTTCATATGCACACTAAGTGGGATATTTGGTGAATAGTAAACTGGCAAAAAAACCTGTTATGGAAGTGTTAAACCTTCAAACTTACTTTCAAGTCTGCTGTTACACTAGAATAAATGTTGGTCTCAATGACTTCTACTTTAAATGTTCTCACTAAACTTGATATAAAAACATCTATTACATCAGGGCTGAACTTCATCACTAAAGCAAATTCCGAGTACTTGCAGCTTTTATGATACTTCTCATCAGCCTTATGTTGAGCCTCCAGCTCACTTTCAAGGTAGCAAGTGGGGAGATGAACCGGCATTGCAGAACAATCAAGCTGTGATTGCAGACAATCCTGAAAATGTGACATGTATTTACTATAAAGGGTCAAGGGTGAGCAGATGAATTTTTTACAAGAACAAAAACAAGCCTCAAACTCCAAGTCTCAGCATTGTGGTGCCTAAAAAAAGGATTTGTAATGTTTCGGTGTCTGACTTGTTTTTTGGTTTTTTTTTTTCTGGAACTGGCAGTACAGAGTTGCTGATATTCAGCATTATGTGTGGAAGGATTTCCAATAATAAAAAGCAGTACTGATGCAAGGCAGTACACAGTTGATGGTAAATATGCCAACAGTATTAGCCTAAAATGCCTCCTACTTGTTCACAGTATAATCAATATACTGTGAACATGGCTTACTTGCTTAGAGGGGTGTGCACAAGCCATGGAAGGGTATGAAGCTGTAGGGACAGACAAGTTCAGAGAGAACTGGATCACTTTGAGAAGTACCATGCAATTTGTGTGGACGAATGTGTTTTTTTTATCTTGTACAATTTAGCAATAGTCACAAAAATCCTGGAGGTTAGTGCAAGGTATCTTTTGTATGATACTCTTGTTTTGTTGATGTTTCTATAGATAATGTGTAATAACTTCATACTTGGCTTCAGGACAACAAACCAAAACTAGACAATATAGAAAATGTCATGATAGCATGGTTAAGTCAGTCTCCCTAGTTCCTACACTGAGTATACTTGTCATGTCTATTACATCTATCAAAGAAAAAATAAGTTGTCTTGAAAAATTTGAACTTACAGTACCAGTGCAATCTAAGTGTTTAGATGAGGCTTTTTGTCTTTGAAAAGAAATAATAAAGTTGAGTGATCTGATTGTATCCTCGTATAATAACATATTTTGATCAAGGACTCTATAGCAGATTTTTGTCCTGAATACTTAGTTCAGGCTCACTGATCCAAAGGTGGACTTCTTGTCTGGAGTGTTTGTATAAGCTACCAAGTTTGGAAAGATCTGAGGAGGACTTTGTTAGAGACAGTGCAGTATAAATACTTACATAAGAAGTATTGTGGCTAACTTGTGTTGTGCCTGCATCTCAAACGATGTTAGGCAGATATTACCAAGACCATGTGTTTAAGCAGCAGCGGAGCCTTTGTAATATGGTGGATTCAGGGATGACTGTGGTGACTGTGAAGTGGTAGAGCATAAGTGGAGCCAAGGATGGAAAGCAATTGACACCTTGCCAGACAGATTCTGGGCCTGGCTAGTCTGGTGCTACTGGTTTACTCACCTCTGCATGTGGTAGCAGTGCTTCTGCTGTCAGATCTCACTGGTCTGGAGAAGGTGAGATAAGCAGTTTTGGTTAAAGACACATTTTTGCTTCATATGTCCTATAGTAGGGAACTGCTAATGTGGTTAGCCTAGTCAGATGGTGAGCTTGTACTGGCTTGAGTAAGAAAAACAGTACAGCTATATGCAGAAGACAGTCGGATACAATACTGTCTGATGGATTCATCTGTGTAGGGAATAGATAATGTTCTCAACCATTGTTCTCAGATGTTTTCCTCATGCATTATGCAACACACTTCCCTAATGAAAGCTGGATAAGATCAACTAAAATTTTGAGTTACCTTCCTCTCCTGAGGAAAAAGCACTTACTTGTAGCTAACAGTGTCTTCATGGTTTCCTGTCATTGTCTTGCTCATAAATAAGTGATACCATTACATGATTATCTCTTACCAAGCTCAGTTGTGCCAATTGCCAGGTGATGTTCTGACTTTCTGCCCCACCAAGCTTCCTGTTGGCCATAAGAAATGGGCTTGATAGACCCCTCACATCTGGAGTCTGGCTTTGCACAGGCATGAACAGAACCAAACTCCAGAGTTGATGGTGTAATGTTAGAGTGTTGATACCTTCAGAAAGACTGAACTGACCAAGCTGTAGTTGGTGGTTAACCACCTGTGGTGGTTCTTGTCAGATTTCCCTGCTAATGTGGTCTGGCTTTTTCAGAGCACACAGCTCTCCTAGTGTAAGTGTACTCCCTTGCTAAAAATAGCTGATGTATCACTGAAGCGGGCCTAACAGCCCCAGGGAAATGTTCTGCAGATGCAATACTTCATTGGGATAGCAACTTCAGGTGTAGTCCCAAAAGCCAAATCCTCACATCCTCTTAAGGCTGTCTTCTGAGGCTTTAAGCATGCTGCTGCTGTTTCCTTTTCTATTCCCCCTCCAGAAAGCAAGCAAATAGTCTGGAGGGGCGGTATGGGAAGGATGGGGAGACAGACTGCTAGGGAGGAAGGACCCTGAAAAGCTGCTCTAGAGACACATCTACATACATGGGCCTTAGAGGCGCACACTAATGGGGTTACTATAGGTGAAAAGAAAATGAAAACTCTTTCCTTCTGTAGAGAAGGGGATTTTTTTAACTAGCTGAAGTGATAGCTAAATTAATTTTTACCCTTTTCATTTGAGAGCCAAAATACTTTGCAATTAAATGTGTTCAGAGGTAAGGAAAACGAAGTTAAAAAAATAATCCTTTATACTTGCAAAAATGAATGGATCTCATGACCCATAATATCACAGATAGCATTTCCAGTACAGAACTGTATCTACTATATCTTTCTATTGGGGTTTTGCTTGGAAACTGTGTTGAAACCTGGTGTGGGAGGGTCAGAGACCAGGAACTGGACAGGTGGTTGTTTCAAGTGCTGGAATACAGGATGGTGCTGAATTTTGCTGAAGCATATTAGAATGTTCCAGCAAAAGCCACAGCTGTCTCTGTGCATGGGTATACACAGGCACCTACTGCACGCTCTCCTTCTGTGAATCCAATGTGAAGCAGTTGGAAAGTGCAAACATATATTTCACAGATTACCATGGGGATCACTTTAATCAGCTTTGAGACCTGCTAATGCTGTAGAGAACTCTGAAGGACTGCTGCTGTTTTCATCTTCGTGCAGCCAGTGCAAGAAGGAATGAACATCATGTCTCTGTGCCGTCGCTGGAAGAGATGCTTCGCTCTAGGTAACTGTACAGTCAGCAGCTGGTTTTGTTGTGCATTACACTGAACTGTGGGTGGACAAAATTAAGAACAACAGCTTTGGGAGTGTTTTAGAGCAAAAGGTCAGTATGTATTGAGTAAATCTTTCTAATCTAGTGTTGGCTAGAAGCCAATGTTACAGGCCTCTGGGCTTTTAGCAGAAGAATACAGATAGCTTTACATCATCAGCATATAAATGGGAAAACATTTCTTTTTCTTGTTTAAATTGTTCTCTTAGAAATCAAGATCAGCTGTGCTTGCAGCTGATATAGCTGTTATTAAATTGTTACAGGAACAGATGCATTACAGAAATGAAAAAAAGCACTTGTATGCCAGAATGCTAATAGAATTACAATGTGCCAAAGTTATTTTTAGCTTCAACCAATATTAATACAGGGAAACAAGTCTTAAAGGTGGGAGGAGAGGAGGCTGTAACTGCCCTCTTCTGAGGATTAGCTATGACTGTCAGTTGTGCTAAGGAGACTTCTGATGGCTGTTCTTGAAATATTCCACTATTCACCTAACTGTGCTTGATAGTTATGTACATGGCCCACCAATAGGATTACTTGTCATGGTTATCCAAGGTGTATGTGACAAGTGCTAGAATTCCAGGATGTTCCTTGAGCAGTGGGATTAATCAGAGGAGAGATTCTTACTTTGGTTTGAAGTATAAAAATTCAATTTAGCTGTAACTTCTGCCACCTCATGTTCACTTTTAAAAACTGCTATAACAATCAAATCTCTGATAATTTTCAGGAACTGCAAATGATACTGGAAGACAGTAGAATTGCCATTGTGCATTGTCAAATGCAATGGTTTCAGTATTAAACTAAGGTTTTTTCCTTTGTATAGGGAGATTTCTTGAGATGAAAAGACAAAAGGAACTTCTTAGTAAAGTTGTCTTCATCTCAGAGGCTGCAAATGCATGCAGAATGGACACAGTAGGTGTTTCTATGTGCTTCATGGTGGAATTGGCATTTGCACTGTTGCCTTGCATATAAAATGCTTCTAAGTTACATTAAATAAGGAGCTCTAAATACAGTGTCCCCCAAACTTTAAAAAGCTGAAGATATGTTTAGTGCTTTCTAATGTGTTCAAATATATTTTGAGCCTGACTGACAGTTAGTAGGCCATGCTGATCCAGGAGTTAAAGAAAAATAAAAATTGTGAAAAGAGGAGCAAAATGTTCATGTGTGACATTACCAATAGTTCCCCAAAGTCTCAAAACTGTAACCCTGAAGAATGCCAGTGCATGATACATCAAGTCTTTGCAGAACCAGTACCTCCATTACCTCCTTCAAAGCTGTTTTACTGCTGCTTCTTATGGGGTTTGTGAAAGTTATGGGCTGTTAGTTGGAAAAAATTGATGACAAATTTCTTGTAGGATACCTTGGTGCCTTTATAGTATTTGCGAAGTTGTTGGAAATCTGGAGCATATGGAACTCATAAGTAGCTTTCAGAGTTGAATTGGAGTTTGAGAAATGCCCATTGTTTGAACCAGTACTTAGAAAACCTATTGCATGTCAAGTGTTTTGATTTGGACTTGAGGGGTTTCAGGGACAGCTTGGGAGGCTCCTCTGGCTTACTGGAGCTGCAGTACTTCTTGACTACTTAAAATTCTGGTGTTGAACGGTAGTTGCTGAAGCTGAGTATTCAACCTTGTGTCAGGCTATTAGATCTAATTTATCTGCTGCCTGAAATTTATTTGTTCAGACCCCAGATGTATCATTGATTCTCATAAATTGGATAGAATGTTATATACCAGAAAAAAACCTGGTTGAAATGCAGGTTATGGTGACAAGCTGCTAGACAATACACAAGTGAATTTGGACAACAACTCAGGAACGAGTGGGATAGGAATGAAGCTTATAAAAATGCCATTTTTGTCCAGTGCAGTATGGGAACTTAACAGCAAACGATTTGTTTTAACTGGTGTCAGTTACTAGTGCCCTGGTGTTTTTTTGTAAACTTAGTCTGGAAGTTGGGGTAGGAAAAGGGTCTAATTTATTTTTACTTGCCAGGGATACAGGTTCAGCTGACAGTTGTGGTTATAAAGCATGAGGCAGAATAGATTATGTTGGTCTCATGCAGTTTCATTAGCTCAGTATTAACAGCTGAAGTTGCTTCTTTTTGACATTAAGTGAGCAGGTACAAAATGACTTGGGAGATGGAGAAGAGCTATTTTAGGCAAAGTGCTATTCCTCTTGTGGTCTCACCAAGGCTGCATATGAGGTTTGTTAGAGGAATAGAAAGAGGCATTCATATTAACAGTCAAAGAAGCAAAAAGAAATGCACCAAGGAGACCATAACTTGGACAATAAGCAACCGTAGGCACCTTTGGTCTTCCATACCTGACTATTCTGATAACTCTGAGACACACTGTATTTGTGCATGATTATGCATCTTAATTTTCTTCTCTGTATATAGTTTCTGCTAAACTATATACTCCTGCAGTAGCATAACCCTGGTTGCTGCATTTTAATTCTTTGAAGTGTCTTTAGTGTTCTGCTAGGAATCTGTTCTGTTTGGTAGTGACAACATTTAGCTGCCTCATCCAAATGAATTTGGGCGTATGCACCAAAATCCAGGCTCCAGCTGTCTCTGCATCATGCAATTCACCCTCAATTGGATTGTGAATGGCTTTTCAAAACAAGCTGTGTTATGTGCCTTGAACTTCTTGGACTTAAGAACTTTCTGGTTTGCAATTTAAGGTTATTTAGAAAGACCTTCAGTGTTGTCAAATTTAGCTTAAATTGGGGATAAACAGAAGGAAGTAATGTAACTTAAGGCATATATTTCTATTCAAGTTTACATTAACAGGACCAAGCAAATGGAGTTCTTGTTCTCACTTTTGTAATTTCAGAGGTTGCTTTTGTATCGGCTAAGGCTACAAGTCCTTCAGAAATGTGTGCAGTTCTAGTCACCTACTGTAAGAGCTACTAATGCTGTGTGTCTGTTAACAAGATCAATCAAATACTGATCTACCTATACTGTGAGTATCTCTGCATCTATCATAACAAGGCAGCTTTTCTATAGCTACATATGAGTGGCAAATCAGTTCTCCGTGGATTGACCAGTATATCCAAGCTTTTATTTGGCTTAGCTGAACTCCCAATTTATAGCAGCCCTCTTTGTGCTGATCCTTGAAGTGCACTGTTAGGTATTAGTACTGTAAGATTTGTAACACATAAACGTTCTTGTAGACTGGACTAAAGAATCTCTTTAAGACTGACAATTGTATGCTGTGTGTCTAGTCTCTAGTCTTCAAAGTAAGCAAGCCCAAACTAGTGGCCACTTGCCTGTGCTGTGGTTTTGACTGATTCAAAGAAATTATCCCCAGGATTGTTCTTGGAGTATACTGACAAGTGATCTCTTTCCAGCATGATGACTTCTTTCAGGAAAGCTTGATAGAAGTTCCTCCTGCATGGCAGCATCTCTTACAGAACAATTCAGTCTGCTTTTATAGGCAACTACTCACAGAATCATCTAGGTTGGAAAAGACCTTGAAGTTCATCCAGTCCAACCATTAACCTAACATTGACAGCTTCCAAATATACCATATCTGCCAGTCAACCTGACTCTTAAACACCTTCAGATATGGGGACTCATCACCTCCCCGGGCAGCCCATTCCAATGCCTAACAACCTGTTATGTAAAGAAATGCTTCCTGGCATTTAGACTAAACTTTCCCTGGTGCAACTTGAGGCCATTACTTCTTGTCCTATCGCTTACTACTTGGTTAAAGAGACTCATCCCCAGCTCTCTGCACCCTCCTTTCAGGTAGCTGTAGAGGGCGATGAGGTCTCCCCTCAGCCTCCTCTTCTCCAGACTAAACACCCCCAGTTCCCTCAGCCGCTCCTCGTACGACCTGTGCTCCAGACCCTGCACCAGCTCCGTTGCCCTTCTCTGGACACACTCGAGTCATTCAATGTCCTTTTTGTAGTGAGGGGCCCAAAACTGAACACAGGAATCGAGGGGTGGCCTCACCAGTGCCGAGTACAGGGGTCAGATCCCTTCCCTGTCCCTGCTGGCCACGCTATTGCTGACACAAGCCAGGATGCCATTGGCCTTCTTGGCCCCCTGGGCACACTGCTGGCTCCTGTTCAGCCGGCTGTCAATCAACCCCCTCAGGTCCCTCTCTGACTGGCAGTTCTCCAGCCACTCCTCCCCAAGCCTGTAGCGCTGCTGGGGGTTGTTGTGGCCCAAGTGCAGGCCCCGGCATTTGGCCTTATTGAAGCTCCTCCAGTTGGCCTCAGCCCATGGCTCCAGCCTGTCCAGGTCTCTCTGCAGAGCCTCCCTACCCTCGAGCAGATCAACACTCCCACCCAGCTTGGTGTCATCTGCAAACTGACTGAGGGTGCACTCGATCCCCTCCTCTAGATCATCAATAAAGATGTTAAACAGGAGTGGCCCCAAAACCGAGCCCTGGGGGACACCACTTGTGACTGGCCACCAACTGGATTTTACTCCGTTCACCACAACTCTTTGGGCCTGGCCATCCAGCCAGTTTTTTACCCAGCAAAGCGTGTGCCCATCCAAGCCTTGAGCAGCCAGTTTCACTAGGGGAATGCTGTGGGAAATGGTGTCAAAGGCCTTACTGAAATCAAGGTAAACAACATGCACAGCCTTCCCCTCATCCAATAAGCAGGTCACCTTGTCGTATAAGGAGATCAGGTTTGTCAGGCAGGACCTGCCTTTGATAAACCCATGCTGACTGGGCCTGAGCATCTGGTTGTCCATTATATGACTTTTAATGGCACCTGAGATGACCTGCTCCATGATCTTCCCTGGCACCGAGGTCAGACTGACAAGTCTATAGTGTTCTGGATTGTCCTTTCTGCCTCTCTTGTAGATGGGTGTCACATTTGCCACCCTCCAGTCCAATGGGACCTACCCGGTCAGCCAGGACTGTTGGTAAATGATGGAAAGCAGCTTGGCGAGCACACCTGCCAACTCCCTCAGCACCCTAGGGTGTAACCCATCC